ATTGAAAGATTATGAACTATTGTTTGATAAATCTGACTTTTGGATGGTGATAGTACTTACCTTTGTGGTTTGGCTTGCATGTGGCTGACTAGTATGAGTTTCAGTTGATAGGTAGTTGTTTTAGTTGTTCGCCACGTGCTAGAGTCATAGGAGTTAGTTTCAATTCCTGCATTTTTTTAGCTAAGTTTATTTTTACTTAGGTCGATTTTCGCATTTTCTGGGATCATTTATTGTACTTGGCCTTGTACAAATTTTGGTAAGCTATTTTCTCTACGGGAATCGCTGTCGAAATTTCTACAAAACCAAGGAGTTAGGCTAAGCCATATTGTATTTTTTCAAGGTTCAGTTTGTCCAACTTTTTGACTTAGTAAAAATCTGGAAAACCTTGTTTTCTATAGGGAGTGCTGCCCAGATTTTTGCTACTTCAAGGACTTAGACAAAATTGAACCTTAAGAAGTCAAAGTCGCTTTAGATTCTGAACTTAACTTTGTTTAAAGCTTGGATTAACATTCTTTCAAAGAGAGTGCTGCCAAAATTTTTATAAATCTAAAGAGTTAGTTAAATTTTGTCTTGGTTGAACTCATGTCTTGTTTCTTGGTTCATATCTGACTTAGTAAAAATGAGGAAATTTTTTTTTTCTAAAAAACGATGCTGCCCAATTTTTTATTAATGTAGAGAGTTGGACAAAATTTGGCTTTCCAAAATTAGAGTTTCAATTTTGTTTTCATATTTGGGTGGTACTTTTCCTACGGGAAGCGCTGCCGAAATTTTCTTAGTTTAGAGGAGTGAGATTATATTTTGAAAGATGACGATTCTAATAATCCACCCTGAATAGGGGAGACACTGTTATAAGTCTGTCTTGCGTTAGGCACTGGCTTGAAGGCAGGCCTAGGATTAGCTTGCAGGAGAACCTTGAGTGAGATTGTGATATGAAGACTATTCTCCATGGACTTATGAATTTAGCTTGGGGATTGGTTTGTCTTGTGTTACAGGTCTTTTTGATCGTTTGCAGAGAATGGTTGAAGTTGACCCCGTTTAGTGCATGAACTTTTGGTTGAATCTTTGATGTGATTGCAGATATGTTTGGTGATTCGGACTTTGGATTTGACTGTCTGTGCTCACATGCATATATATATATATATGGCTGAGAGGAATCTCATTATGATTGTGAGAAGTGATCGTCACATGTTTATAACCCGCTATATATATGTAAATAAATTTGTTTTGAGTGTTTCGCGCGGCCTGCTGTGACCGCGCGTAAGGGTTAAACAGATTATGTTTTTGAGAGAAAAGGGAGATCCCCTGTTATCCTTTGCTTTTTAGAGTTTCTTTTATAGTTGGACGTTCTAGTCCGTGACAACCGTCAAAGTCAAACCCCTTGATTTCTCTCCAGACCCTGGATGATGGAGCTGGTCTTCAGGGCGATAAGAGACGATTGCCACCATATGTATGAACCTGTGTACCACCCACTCTTTGCAGGGTGCAGACGAGGGTGTGGTTCTGAACTGCACTTGACGGTTGTCCAACGTCGAGAGATCATTCCGTCAAGGCGCGTGTCAGCCGACACTTAAGTGTCGAATGCGACCCTCGAGGTTAACCAGGACCGCATGAGTAAGGGTACTAGCACATAATACGCCATCATTGCGACTGCGTGTGTATGCTTGCATTGCGAGTCAATATGAGATGAGCTCTGCGTCTGCGCGGTTTTATACAAAGTCTCGCGCGCGACGCCTATCCGATTTCCGCATTGGAGAGTTATGGGATAGCAACTAAGGGACTAGGAGTGTTGTCGTGTTGTTTGTTCTGTGTCGTTCTGTATATGTGTCTGTGCGTGCGTGTTTTAATTTTTATGTCCTTAGAGTGGTGTACACGTGCTGTCTGGAATACGTCCTATTCGACTGACGACGAGTCGTGCTTGGGACCTCAGCCCCCCAAGGCGTCGGTTCGTGTGTGGGTCCGATAAAGGCGTAAAACCGCGGATACCCCCTATGCTACAGCGAACGAGAAGCGCCCTCGACTGGTCCGCCTCTGCGATTGCAGCTAATTAACTTTCGTACTTTTGACTGGTAGCTCGGGGGTGATACACCCACCGAAGGGAGGTGACAACTCCCGTAAGGTGGAGGTAAGTCGTGCCTTGACCCTATCCTGCCTTAGGGGCTCACGAGAGGTATGGCTGCCGCACTCGGCCGGAGCGGCTTGCGGAAGCTCCATTATGTATTCACGACGAAGATAAGACCAACTCTTGCATGACACGGCCGGGAGGGTCCCGCCCTGCCTTGTGTGGTGCCGGACCGATGAGCTCGACAACGCGGACCAACCCTGACAAATAAAAGTAACCGTTGTGGAGAATTAGATACAACCTATTTGGATGTACTCATAGTTGCTTTCAACATGAATCCGCTGGCCCAACCTCATACGCACACTGCCGACTTTAGGAGGTTTACGGTGTAGGATAACATTGTGTGTTTGAGAAGATTATCCTTGATTTAATCAATTAAGGGACAACCCCCCTAGGCGATCGTCCTTGTTCGAATACCACGATTATCTTGTTTCTCTCGGATTGGACTATAAGTTATCGATCTTTAAAATTAATAACCACGATCTTTTAAAATTTAAACTTAAAGGGGGAAAAAAAACAGTGATGTGGATACCCTTAATCAGTACTAGTGGGGTCTATGTCCAACACGGGTGTGAGTGCGAGCGTGAGTGGGTTGTGTGTGGTGTGTGGGAGAGTGTTGGCCATAACCTCTGCTGCTACTTAATGAGTGGTGGGGGACGATGAGAAAGGGAGGCGCAGCTACTGGCAAAATGCTTGGTCTTTGCGTTAGTCGGACCCCCAGACCCCATCCCATCTCCGACTACCGTTGTTGGTGCGGGGGGCAATATGATTTACCTCGTTTGCGAGGCTCTATGCTTGCAGGGGTCCCCTCTATATAGTCTTAGGAGTAGTGGTAGGAAGGTAGTGAAAGGCTAAAAAAAAATTGAGAGAGAATAACATATAGTTAAAAAAAAAAAAAAAAAAGTGCACTCAATGAGGAAGGTGAATATAGCTGTTTTGCTTGTGTAAGCATCAAATGAAATACTAGAGTTCTTCTACGTCATAATCATTTTGAAGTGGATTTTTAATCTCAATTTGACGGCACTTCGGGAGAATCGTCATTTTCAATATGATGAATTCGGAAGAAAGGCCTTGTGGGGGTATGTTTTGTTTTTTTCGACCGTTAGGCAAGGAGGGTAGATGTACTTCGTATCCTCTGTGTCATTGTTGCATTGCACATAATGATTCGGGTTTGTCATAACGATTTCATGTTAGGCGTCGCTAAGTACGCATTATATGGGATGTACACACACATGCACCACGTACAACCCCCCCCCTCCTCCATTGTACATGTGCGCACAATATAGGTTTTTTGGCAATTTGTTTTTTGTTTTTTGTTCCTGAAGGGGGTTGAGGGCGGGTACACACACCACGAGGGCAATCTGCAGAATAGTAGAGGATAAAAATTGCCTTGCTCAACCGTCCTCACACTTTCATCGTCACCTGAACACAACTCACACTCATTTTGGTTGTACCGCACCAGAAAGATAGGTTGTATACATTCATTTTTCAGGTGCTAAGCCATTTTGGAAATTTTTTGCTGCACCCGACTTCGTCAATAGATTGCTTATATTCATTATAAGGGTGCGTTACTTGGGGAAGATGGTAGGACGTGCTCTCTCTCTCTCTCTCTCTCTCTCTCTCTCTCTCTCTCTCTCTCTCTCTCTCTCTCTCTCTGTGTGTGTGTGTGTGTGTGTGTGTGTGTATACACTTGCATCTCCACCCTAACACAAAGGACCCTCACTCACTCTTATATTGGTTGTCTTTGATCGGAAGTTAACTTTTATACAATCTTTATCAGGGTGTGAAGCCATTTTGGTTGTATTCAACCCGAAAGAAAGTCACGGTGCGTTGTCTTATGCAGAAGACAACAACACGTGTATCTCTCTTTCTTTGTTTCTCTCTCTCTCTCTCTCTCTCTCTCTCTCTCTCTCTCTCTCTCTCTCTCTCTCTCTCTCTCTCTCTCTCTGTAATTGGCGACGATCACGAAGGCCCGATGCTGAATCGCAAAAACATGATAAAAATATATTTTACTATTCTCAATAAAATAAAAAAGATAAAAAAATAGCTGAATTTTTATTTTTTTATTTTTTTGACAAACTAAGACTACACGACCTATAATCTTATAGTTTTCTTGTTTTTCTTTGTCGCGTAAATTATGTCAATAACTAGGCTTTCAGCTGTCCGATTGGGAGACGTCTCCCCGAGACGGTCAGGGGGGAGTTGTTCGGAAAATCGAACAACGGCTCTTTTGCCAAAAAAAAAAAACGAAAAAAAAAAAAAAACGGGGGGGTCTGCGTACCACTAGGGGACCCGCCAAAAAAAAATTAAGGCTGTTCTGAGCAAAAACGAAAAAAAAATTCAGATATGGTGTGCAAGGTGTGATGGTGGGGTGTTTGGGGGGGGTGGATTGATTGATTGATTGATTGACGGGTGGGTAGACAGATAGATAGACAGATAGGTAGGCAATCGGTTCGACGGGATCCCTATTGATTGATTGATTGATAGTCGAACCGATTGGTTCAATAGGATCTTGATCAGATCCTATCGAACCAATCGGTTCATCGAGATCCCGACTGATTGAATGATTGATTGATTATTGATTGATTATTGATTGATTGTATTGATTAATTGATTGTTTGATTGATTGATTGATTGATTGATTGATTGATTGGATTTTGATCAACACTTTATGAATTCCGCTCGACACTGTCGATAGTGATAGGAAGAGCGGGATCCGGAATAGCAAGGCAATGGTGGGCGGGTGGGCGGGTGGGAATTCGATCGAGCAGCGGAACGGGGCCAGCAAGGGAAGCGAGCGATTGGAGGGGAGGGAAGGGGAGATGAGAAATCAAGTAGCGCAAACGAGAACGGAGAAATTGGAGGGAATCGGGAGTGCGGAGGTCGGGATCGGGTGGTGATCGAAGGGAGGGGGATAGAGATCAGAGTTGGAGCAGGGGGACAATGGCGGAAAAATGTGCACGCTGGGTGGGGGGAAATGGCGGGAAAATGCGCGCGCTAGGTGGAGGGAGCCAAACGGAGAAGCGGAGGAAGAGGAGGAGGACGTTGACATTGACGAAGAAGAGGAGGTGAAGGACGATGACGCAGAGGAGGAGGTGGAGGAGGAGGAGGAGGAGGAGGAAGACGAGGAGGAGGAGGAGGTAGAAGAGCAGGAAGAAGAGGAGGAGGAGGAGGAGAAGGAGGACGACGACAATGAGGAGGACAACGAGATAGAAGAAGAAGAGGTGAAGGACGATGACGCAAAGCAGGAGGAGGAGAAGGAGGACGAGGAGGAGGAAGACGAGGACGAGGAGGAGGTCGACGAGGACTAGGAGGAGGACGTCGAGGTAGAAGAAGAAGAAAGGGGCGAGGGGGAGGAGGAGGTGTGGGACGGAGGGAAGCAAACTCACCTGGCGCGGGCGGGCGATGGCGCGTGGGTTGCGGCCGTTGGGCGTCGGAGTCTGGCAACTGCAACGCCGAACTCCACCAACAGGGCAGGGCGAAGTCGCGCGCGAGAAAGGGTCGCAGCGCCTCGGATTTTGAATTTGAAATCGGCCCGATCTGGGCCGTCGATCTCAAAGATCTGACGGCCCAGATTGGGCCATTTTCATTTTCGGTTTTCGAGGTCCCACCGACCTCGAAATTTTTTTTCCCTTCAGCCCTCCCGCTTCGCCCCTGCCCGCTTATCACCCTCATGACGCCTGATTCCCCATGGAAGCGCTCCCCTTAATTTCCCCACCGATCGGACACAGGGCCCGGGCGGACGACCAACCGGTTGTCCGATCGGACAACCCCGGACGGTCAGGGGGGGTCCGGACGTCCGATCGGGTAACGTAGGTCAATAACTCATTCGCGGGTAGTCTATGATAGAGTACAACCAAGGTTCTCTAGACGCATACAACAACATAAAATTTCATAGATTTCATAATATAAAATTATTCTAAGATTTTAATTACCATTGCACCTTAAAAAATGTTATTCCATTTTTAAAATTTGATATATGACTTAGAAACTTTCCTTCCCAAAATGGGGTATCCCTTCTTGTTTCAACTACGTGCTTGAGATGGAATGAAATTTTGTACAAGTTCATTAAATATTTTAATTAGATTGTCATTTTATTATAAGGAGTTAATGTAAGAAATGGTTAATCCCATCTAAATAAGGAAGATAATTTTTGTAGTAGAATGAAAGTCTAATTACGATATTTTCTATACTTATCTTGACTCGTATTTCATCGTCAACAAATAGATGTAACTGAATGGAAACCTTCTTTTAGAAGAAACTTATCAAAGAAAATTGAAAAATTTTGAACAAGAAAAAAAATTCTTACCCTGAAACGATGATTTTTTAATATGGAGGATTTTTTTTAAACACAATGTTTTTTTTTAACTTTCATTTCTTTGACTCATAAAAACACAGTGTTTTTATCTTTCATTCCTTTGAGTATTAATCCTTTGAACTCGTTGTATGTGAGGAAAAAATTATTTTATTTTGTACGTGAGACACACCTAGACTTTTGAGTGGATTTGTTTAGCTTGGATTGATGACACTTCGGGATGATTATCATGTTCGATATGACGGTTCTGGAAGAAAAATTTCGTAGGGACTTCTTGTTTTTGTCACATGCCAAACCATCATATTGGATATGATGTTTCTATGGGCACCTTACAAACCTAACATAAGTTTAGTTGTTAAATTTGTGGACATATCCAAGAATCATCGCATTCGTTATCGAAGAATGGTATTCTAGAGACATCGTTATATTCATTGAAAAAGTATAGACAAACAGTATATATGACGCTTCGTTTTACAGTCGTCTAACTCAACACGCATCACTTAGATATCATTGAGAAATTACGTTCATGATAACATTTAACCCCCCTTACAAAGTCAAACTTTCATATCAAATACGATGGTTCTCGGCCTGCTCGCCATATCCGAGACGAGTTGAACTTTGAAGTGTATTGCACCCCGAATGAATCATCGCATGTGATCTGGTGAGCAGAGAGAAGGTTTAGGGTTTTCCTTTTGTTTGTTGTCAAATGCAATCTAATATTGTATGTGACACTTTTTTATGTAACCATAAAATCTAACACAAACCATCAATTTGAATATCATAAACTTAGTTTATCTACATGAAGACCCTCTTTTCTCGCACTAGGTCAGAGTGTCATGTTCAATGTCATTGGTCGGGTTGAAGGGTTTCACGGAAGTCTCTTTTCTTTCCCCCAAGATCCAACCGGTATAAAAACTTATCTAGCTTCCTAATACTTCAATTACTCTTTGAACACATCTAGAAATTTCCTTGGGAAACATTAATCCAAAGTTTAACGTTCATATCGAACGGGAAGGTTCTTCTAAAGGTTTCATTTTGAAACCCCGCAGATCATCTCGGAGACTGAAAACCATCATATCAAATGTAACGACTATGTGATGAACTACGAGACAATTAGTTGTCCTAACTTGGAAGATTGGAAGAATCGTTTGTCCGATATAATACTTCAGAAAGATCGTTTGTGTGGAGATTTTGAGTTTTTGCTTAAAGGGTCAAGCCGTCATGTTCAATGCCAAGATTCTCTAGTCAGATCCAAAACGGGTTGAACTTCTTGTGCTCACTTGACTACATTATAACGGACAACTGCGTTCAATATAATTTACGTTCAGGAAAAATGAAGAAAAAAAAAACGTTCGATATGATTTATGTTCGGGAAGGATGCAAAAAAAAAAAAGAAAAAAAAAAAGGAGGACGTTTTCGGGGCAAGAAGGGTATTTGCCGGGGATTATAAATGTCGGACATTGTCCGACTCTTTCGTTGAATTGAAGGACTTGATGAGAGACACATTTGCCAAAAGTATATTCTGACCTTACTTATGACTGAGAGACTAAAAGTTTTCGAGTTTTAGTCCGTGCGCTTGTGGCGTTCGAGAGTAACGACAGTAGCTGCAGTGCTTCATTCTTATCAAAACAGCAGAAGAGCGTGGGCATGAAAATGTTAAAGTAAGACCTAAGTAGGTTAAAAAGAGGGATGCGCCGAGTATGGGGCCTCGGCACGGGAGGAATAGGAAGATTGTTTTATTTATTGGGGCCACGGGGTTCAACATCGAGCTAGGGGGTCGATAGACCGATGCCGAGGCCTGCGCGGTTAGGTGGCCAGTTAAGTCATGGCCACGCAGCCAACCGACGGGGGAAGGCCAGCAAGTGAGGCTTGTTAAGCCTCAAGCATGCGAGACCTGCAAAGCCTCATGCAGGCAGGGGCTGCAAGGCCCCAGCGGGGGGGATAGCGACTGGGCAAGCTCTTATTATAAAAGACCTGATCCTATCACTTTCGTGAAAGGAGCTAGCCCAATAGGTTACACCACTCGACTCTTACCCGACATACACCGAGATCGAATCTGATATGTTGTGGCCTACTGGGCATAGCTCCTTTTGGAGCTGCATCACTTTGCAGATGGCGCAGTCCATCTCGACCGTGCAATCACAGAGATCACACGGTCGAGATAGGCCGCGTGAACTGCATGACCCCTGTGCAAGGATGACACGCATAAATCGAGAAATGGTCCAAAACTTCTTCGATCCCTGATGAGATCGAACTTGGGTTTGCGGCATGGGAAATGCGTGGCTGAAAAGCCACACGACAAACTTAGAAGTGACCGTTGGCATAAGCCAATGGAAAAAAAAAAAAAAAAAAAAAAAAAAAACTAACTTGCTACGTTTGGACACGCCATCTGGCGTCTTCTGAAGTGACAGGGGCACATGGTCCCCAGTGCACTTGACGGCGCTAGTGAAACCAGGCGACTGTTTTTTGCAACAAGGTAAGTTTTTTTTTTTTCGTTTTTTTGTCCTTTTTTTCTTTGGATTTCTTCCTTTAGATTCGTCTTAGATTTTTTAATTTCTTTTAATTTTCCCTGTTTTTTTTTCTGTTCGTGATTTTTCTGAACGTGCCCGTTCGTTTTGACGAACGGGCTAGACAAACATCTATAGGAAGAGCAAATTTGAATGAATCTACCGCCGAGGACATGAAAATATACACTATGACTACTATTATTACTACTACTGTGGGAAAGATGAGTGTCTTACCTGGTGGGTGATTGAATCCACAACGACGAGGAATGCAATGACCAACAGGTAAGTCTCCAACCTTGCAGCTCGCTACTCGTTGCCTCCATCGATGGGATGAGCAAAATCGAGTGAACTTGCGGTTAGGGCTGAGAAAAATTACATCGGCACATGTTTTAAGTCCCCCCTAGGTCCTATGGCTGATGGTCTGCGCCCGTTCACTTGAAAAACGAGCTGCAGACCGTCACATGTACCTGGCGTCATTGGTGCCCGGGTACAGGCGCACGGGGCGAGGGGGGAAGTAGACCCTGTTGAGCTTGACTCTAGTTCGACTGAGTGAAACGAATGTAGGTTGAGGGGGGGGAGACTCGTTCGTTTTGGATGACAAGCAGCTCCTTCTCAACGAGAAATTAAGGGGGGGAAAAAAACAAAGGAGAAAGAAGGGGAAAAAAAAGAAAAGAAAGGAAAAAAGAGAGTCACGACCGCGAATATGGTCGCGGCCCCAGATCAGGTGCAGCCCCATAAAGTTTTAGGGGTTGATGGGACTGCGCCTGTTCGTTTTGAGCAGGCTGAAGTAAATGGCTGAGTACAAATGGCTGAGTACAACCATTTACAGGAGTATTTGGCTTAGAAAAACGACCGGATACTCCTATGGGTTAATGACGTTGGTTCCCCTAGGGAAAAACTGAGGCATCAAGCTCCTGGCCCTTGATCGAGATCGAGGGCCAGGAGCACCGACGGATTTTGCCTGGCTGTGGGCAAAGCAGCTGCCACATGCCTTCGACTGGCTATAAAAGTCAACATTGCACCCAACAACCTCACACTTGTGGCAGTGTTGCCGGGCCATTCACTTAAGTGAATGCTGGCTAGCTGCTACCGTGGGGTGGTGCTGCCAGAGAGGAGGGGGAGGAAGTGCTGCTAGTGAAGGAAGTGGTGGTCTGCATGAGCAAAGGAAGGCAACCATAGCCAAGGCTGGGAGCTCACTGCCCCACCTTTGCATGGGTGCCTCGGCCGGTGGACTGCGTCAGGGTTGGACGGCGGCAACGACACTGTTGGTGGGGAGATGTTGTCGGACTGCTGCCGCGGCAAAGGTGTTGCAGCCTGCCGGATTTGTCGTGCGACGCCAATGTTTTTTGTGAGTGTGGGGAGGTGCTGCTCAATCAGCGGCATGGCAACAACAATATAGTCAATGGGATCATGCTGCCGAGATTGGCAGCAACGTTGATATTTTTAACAGAAGGAAGTGTTGTCTGGTTGGCGACACGTCGACGATTCTTTTTCCGAGGGGCAGTGTGCCAAATTTGCGGTGTGGTGAATCAGTCGTTTGGAGGTGTGAGCGAAGATCCGGCCTTTCCGTCCACCGTGGTGCAACTCGAATGGAGTCACGCCGATCGCCGGATGCACCGAAGTGTTGTAGGTGAACTCGATGTCGGGGAGGCGGTCAACCCAATCTTTCTGGTCCGGACGGATGAGYGYACGAAGCATCATTTGAGCGGTYTGATGTGCCCGCTCCGTCTGCCCGTCTGTCTGAGGRTGYCGAGCCGAACTTGGTTTCATTGTTGTGCCGGACTYCTGCATGAGAGCAGTCCAAAACGCCGACATGAAACGAGTGTCGCGGTCGCTGACAATGTCTTCTGGTACATCGTGGCCACAAATCCAACCAGTGTGCAGGAGGCGTGCCAGCTCAGGGGCCGTGGAGTAGTACTTGCAAGGTAGAAACCGCGCGTACTTACTCAATCGGTCCACAACCGTGAGGATGCCGTCGTGCCCGAGCCGGTCGCGAGGAAACGGACTGGTGACGTCCATGGCAATGGAGAGACCGGGTTCTCGTGGGATAGGCATCGGGTGTAACTCGCCGTAGGGATTGCGGTTGCTGGGCTTGCTGCGTCGTCAAACTTCGCAAGAGTCGCAATACCGAGTGACGTCGGTAATGAGGTCGGGTCATCGGAATCGCTGTCGAAGCCGTGCAATTGTGCGGTTGACTCCAAAATGGCCGGCGAGTCGTGAATCGTGATACTCGCCGAGGAGGCGAGTCCGAAGACGAAGGTCGTGTGGGACACATAGTAAGTCCTTGCCTTTTGAGTGGAGGAGCAAGAACCCGTCTGCAATGCGGTAATGGCTGGCCGACGGGTGATCCGAAGATAGCTGTGCATAGAACGTGCCGAAGTCCGGATCAGACTGATATGCCCGGATGAAGTGTCGCTGAAGCTCCTCGTCGAATGCGAAGGCATGATGTGTTATAGCGCAAAGATCAGGTCTTCACGAGAGTGCATCTGCTGCGCGATTGGAGAGGCCGGGGACATGTTTCGGTGTGAAGTCAAATTGGTCGATGAAGTACATCCATCGTTCGATCGTGCTGCTCACCGTGTCCTGCGTCTTATAGTAGGTCAATGGATTGTTGTCTGTGACCCATGTGAACCTACGACGCCCAAGGAGGAAGTGCCGCCAGCGCTTGAGAGCCATCACGAATGCGAGCAGCTCCTTCTTCCTTGCATCATCAAGCGAGTTGATGGGAGGCACTTTGTGGCTGAAATACTCCACAGGGTGCCAGTCGTCGCCATCGTGTTGTTCCAAGACTGCCCCAATGCCATAGCCAGAAGCATCCGTAGTCACTCGCGTCGGCAGGGTGGGGTCATAGATGCTAAGGACGGGTGCCATGAGCATAGCCATCTTAAGTGCTTGGAATGAGCGGCGTGCGTCGTCATCGAATACGAATGACACCTTTGGCGACTGTAACCTCGTCATAGGTGCAACAATCCTGGAGTATCCGGTGATGAATCGCTGATAGTAGCTCGCCAAACCCATGAATGAACGAACGTCCATGGTGTTGGTGGGTTCGGGCCATACTCGTAGGGCCTCGATCTTGTCCGCAAGCGGACGGATGCCTTGCAGCGTCACATAGTGTCCCAAGTACTCCAGCTCATGCTGTGCGAACTCGCACTTGTCGCGTTTTGCTTTGTACTTGGCTTGTCGTAGCCGCTCCAAAACGGTGCGCAGGTGTTCCACATGCTCGTCCAAACTCCGACTATACACCAAGATGTCGTCGAGGTAGATGAGTACAAACCGATCCAGCATGTGTCAGAACTCCGTTGTCATAGCCACTTGGAAAGTGGTTGGGGCATTCGTAAGGCCAAATGGCATGACCAGCCATTCAAAATGCCCATACCGTGTCTTGAACGCGGTCTTGTAACGATCCTCCTTGCGAATCTCGAGTTGGTGGTTCCCTGACTTGAGATCCAGCTTAGAGAAAAACTGGGCGCCGCCCAATCGCTCGAGAAGGTCGTCGATGCGTGGGAGAGGGCCGACATTCCTGATCGTCTGCGCGTTGAGCTTGCGATAATCGATGCACAACCGCAGGTCCTTGTTCTTCTTCCGGACAAAGAGAACAGGAGCACCGTATGGCGATGAGCTAGACCGAATCCAGCCTTTCTCCAGAAGGTCGTCGAGTTGCGCCCGAAGCACACTTAACTCTTCCTCGCTCATTCGGTAGATGCAACCGCGCGGAGGTACGGCCCCATCCTTGAGGATGATCTCGTGGCGGATGGGTTGATCCGGTACTACCCCGTGCGGGCCTTCGAAGACGTCGCTGTAGGCGTCGAGAAGTTCGGTGATGCGTGGATCCGAAGGTGAGTCCGTCGATGAAGGGTCATTGGGCGGGAGGGCGTGGAGAAAACACACCCCCATCTCCTCSATGTCGTCTCTGATGATGGAAGCTCGCATGCTTGCGGCGGATACCACGTGGCAGCTGATCGAAGGATGAGGAAGAGGCACCGTGCATGGAACTAGTACTCCGTTCCGATCACGAATGTGAACGGTGCGGTGGAAGAAGTTCACCGGGTGATCCTCGCTTCGCAGCCATGACATGCCCAAGATCATGTCAAATTTGGTGTCCAGAATGTCAAAGGACACCGCCTCACTTGCGTGAGGGGCAAAGTACACTGGGACGTTATCAATGCACCGGTCAATTGACTTGTGCGTGTGACCGTCTGCCAACGTGACTTGCGTAGGCTGGGACTTCCTCCGGACGCGTGGGCCAAGGCCGGTGCGCACCATGAAGTCCTGGTTGATGTAGTTGCGCGACGCTCCGCAATCGATCAAGGCACTGCAGGTCGCCTCTCCGACCTGAATGCGTATGTATAACAATGGTGCGTCGATGTCGTCGTACCGTTGTGTCTTGAACTCTCGGTCGATTTTCGCAATGTAAGCGTGAAGGTCGACAACCTCTGCTCCGGCGTCCATCAACGGAGCTGGTACTGCAGTGTGCAAGTTATCCCGCAGTTGTGCCATGAGCACATTGCAATGCGGTTTCGGCAATCGTCCGGTCAAGGGAACGGGCATCCACTGGAAGTTTGTGAACGTCAATGGGTCGAGCTCTTCAAGTCTTGACCATGACGTCGAATCCCCGGCAATAGGTTGCGGCGAAGGTGCCGAATCGGTTGCCAATGGCGATGAAACCGTGCATGCGGTGGATTGTTGCACGTGGAGCGGTTGGTCAAGCGGTGGAACCAAGTGGACAGCATAATCCTCGTAAGTATACCGAGGACTTGTGACATTCGCATCCTCCCCAGATATGCAGGAGGCCGCTAGCAAGGTGGCCGAATCTGCCGGAGCAGAAGGTGGAGTTGCCTCACCTTCCGCGGAGCTCAGTTTCCCGAGCTGAGGCGGGGTCGCACATCCTCCTTGCCCTGATCTTGGCACAGGGAGGTCTTGTGCTTGGTGTTGTTGCACCAGTAGCAATTGCCGTAGCGGCCGCGGACCTTGTACTCCGCCTCGGTCAAGCCAACATTTCCGGCCTGCGATGCGGATTTCGCCTTCCCATTGTTGCGAGACTTGTTGTTGCTTCGCGGCTGGACAGCAGCCACCTGATCTCCGTCACTTGATGCTGGAGTGGCTGCTGGGTTATCTCCACTGTCCTGCTGGACTGCAGCGAAGTGTTGCTGTCGCGGACCAGTTCGTGCCTTCTCCACACAGGTCGGCTGCCATGTTGATCTCTCGTGTGCAGCTGACCTGTTGGTCTTGATGATCTCTCTCGCCTTGTCGATAATCTCGGCGAAAGTGGAGTACTGCTCGCGATCACCAAGAGCCTGGCTCAATGCAGCGCAGGATCTGTTGTAGAACTCACGTCTGAGATGAGTGAAAGCAAGGTCCAGATTGGGCACTGCTGCAATCTTCTGCCACTCCGTGAGCCAGTCCCGTGTTGCAGTGTTGCCCTGTGACATGGTGAACAGACGGCTGATGGCGAGTGTCGGCGCGTCGTCGACGATGAACCGCTTCTTCCACAATCGTGTCAGTTCCTCCCATGTGATTTTGTCCTTCAAGTCTGGTACGTCGACGCCGTGGGAGGTTGCCAGGTGGCTCAACCAGGTCTGGCATCCGCCCTCTGAGTTCAGGAACAGGGCGCCGATGTACGCATGCTTGGCTACGGGCAGAATCCTGAGTTGCGTTGTGAATGCTTCCCACCAGGGGACCGGATCCTGCTGCGTGTAGTCGTCGAACCTCTCCAGATTGAAAGTTGGCATCTTGTAGACTTGTACATCTTCGGATTGTCGTCCGCGTTCGTCGACTGCAACTGCTGGACCTCGGTCTTCAATGTATGCAGCTGACTGCTGATGGTGGTGGTCGGCGCAACGAAAATGCTTATGTCGCCGAGCATTGCCACTACGTGGTCAACGCGGTCCTCCAGTTGGCGGCTAGAGGGTGCACTGCTGGAAGCCCCAGCAGCTGGTCCTGGTACAGCCTATTCCAGGTTCAGCAATCGGGCATTGAGTGCCCGAGTTGCATCCTTGTGGCTCTGCACTATGCGGCGGAGCTTTGCCAACTCCTGATGTTGTTGCGTCAGGTCCTGGTACTGTCTCTCCAACTCTGACCGTTGGTAGTTGCAAGCGTACAACATTCTTGTCACGAGTTTGGAGAGGAACTCCTTGTGCTTCTCTTCCGGTGTTGCCTCGTCGCCGTTCGGTTGAAAGTGCCAGAACCTGAGTCTGCCGATGCTGTTGGCTTCATGCCGCTGCAGCAGATCGTGGGCTTCCTTGCGGCGAGCCTGGGCATCTGCGTCTGCGTCGGCCTGTAGTCGCAGCTGCTCTGCTGCTGCTGCCTCTTCAACCTGTACGCGGGCAGCCTCGGCTGCCAGCTGGCATTGTTCCTCGGCCTCAATCTGAGCGTGGAACCGCTACTGGTAGGCGGCAAGGGACTCGTTGGGAAGTTGCCCTGGCAGGCCCGTCATGTTGCTGACGTGGCACTGCTGCTGTGGCATTGCTGGCGTGCCACTGTCTGACGTCACTGCTGACGTGGCACTGAGTCTGACGTGGTACTGCTGACGAGGCACTGTGTCTGATGTCACTGCTGGCGTGGCACTGTGTCTGACGTGGCACTGTGACCTGGCACTGCTGATGTGGCACTGCTGATCTGGCACTGTGACGTGGCACTGCTGACGTGGCACTGTGACTTGGCACTGTGACGTGCACTGCTGATCTGGCATTGTGACGTGGCGCTGTTGACGTGGCACCGTACCGAACCGGGATGCATGCAAGGGGTGGGTAGGAGGGAAAACACAGGTAGGTAACCAACCCAACAATACTTTCCTCCGGCCCTAATCAACAGATAAAATAAAATAAAAAATAAAAGAGGACTACTTCCCTTTTTTTTTTTTTTTTTATATCTGTCGATCTATGATGAGTAGGATATGTCAGAAGAGTATTATGAACGAGTTCTAGGCTAGGTTCCACAAAGTTTCGGCTTTTACAAACTGCGATCTTGAAAAAAAATTTGCGAAATGGAATAAAGATGCGATTTTCAGAAAAGAACGAAATCCATTTTTTGAGAATATAGCAACCTCCGAATATGCCTAACGCAATATTGGTAGGCTTCGCAAGATTCGGTTTTCAAAAAAAAATTTGCGAGATAGAATGGAAATGTGATTTTCATAAAAGAATAATTTCAGTTGCCGAGAATATGACCACTTCTATAGTTATCCCAATATGCCTAGAGAACGAAAATACTAACTTCAGAAATTTCAGCTATGTATGCGAATATCAGAGAAACGAAATGCTACTATCGGGAATTTTCAGACAAACGAAATGCGATTTATCAGAAATTTTCAGATGTTTGCTACGTAAAAACGAACTACTAATATCAGAAATTTTCAGGTAAAATGAAATGCGAATATCAGAAATTTCAGATAGTTGTTGCGAGAAAAAAAAAAATTCAGAGATTTGACTAAGTCCTACTTGCGTTACTAATGAGTGATCAATAGATCGCAAGCTGGCTACTTGATTGAGCGGGKCCTCTGAATGAGAGGTCCGCTCCGATACCAAACTGTTGCATACTGTAACGTGCAAACCAGAACAAGGACCGACCTTTCAATACAAAGTATAAGATAGCACAACGGAAGACTTAGATACTAGTGATCCGAACAATCAATGTTGCAATGCAGCCCTGAACACACATCATCATCATCGTTACATGGTGTGAAATGGGCCTGGCGCTTCACACAGGAAGACTGCGCCAGCCCATACCATACACAAATGAAGAGGAAGGGGATAGACGAAGAGGAGGGGGAAGATGGGAATGTCGTCAACACCAAGTTTTCGGCACAAGCCCAAATAGTCCCTCGTCGAAATGTCTGAATCCCAAATGTCAAGTCTGGATCCAATGTCGTCAAGTCTGGATCCAATGTCGTCAAGTCTCAAGTCACAACTCTGTCTCTCTCTGTCGTAGTCTGAGAAGTCAGGTGGCGAGAGGGTGAGAAGAGAAGGTGGACTTAGAAGAGGAAGAAGAAGAACTCTCTCTCTCTCTATGTGTCCAGTACTAACCTGTGAAGTTGGCGTCTTGATGCAGGTACCACGAAGATGGAGCTGGAGCGATGGCGCCACAGGTAAGTACCACTGGCCTCCGCCAATCTCTCTCTCCCACTCTACAATCTACCACCTATCATAGCGCCCAGCGCTGAAGACTACCTCTAAGGCTATGGGCGCCCAGCGCCGAAGACTACAGCTAGCGCTAATACCTGCCTAGCGTTGAAGACTACTGCAGCGCTCCTCCTGAGTGCTGCGGCCGAATCCTGAAGACTACCTCGTGCCTATTGAACTACCTACCCGTAAAGTGCATGGGAACTTCCTATGTACTACCGGGTGTGCCTCCTGAGCCTGCCGAAGGGAGGCAGGGGCTGCAGCTGCAAGTCCTGCTCAAACTCATGAGGAACAGGCTATTCTTGGCCTGTTCCGCATCCCCGTTTACGTGCCTGAGTCTTAGGGGCAGGTCGAAACAATGAGGGCCTGAAAATGACCCTCCGTTTCAGGCTGAAAACTCTGGGTCTGAAAAGACCCAGAAATAGGCTGAAACGGGGTAGGGCCTGCAGGCCCTCGTTTTTCAGCTTTCAGGCTGAAACGACCGGGGCCTGTAAGCCCTAAGTTTTAGGCTTTTAGGCTGAATGTCCGGGACGGGCCCTGCAGGGTCCGTGTGGCTACGCAGTATGCTACAGGAAGTGAGGACAAGCACGTGGTCCTTGCCGACATCTCCGCTCACTCCGCTGCTAACGTCGACGGGCTGATTCGATGGCTATGGATGCGGTATCTGTGAGTTCGTAACCCAGTCACTAATAGTACAAGAAATAGTACTAGGGAGGACGGTCGATTGGATTGCCCTACGTATGCTTTTTCATCATTGAGCTGGCTACTTGGGTTTCGTATAGCACAATGTCATCTGGCCTTTGATGCGATCTTGCAATAGAAACTTTCGTCACTGCAACCAACCTTTCTTGCAGAGAGAGAGAGAGAGAGAGAGAGAGAGAGAGAGAGAGAGAGAGAGAGAGAGAGAGAGAGAGAGGGCGGCGCTTGGGTACTCGCGTCCTGCGCCAGCGAGAGCGCTTAGTCGAAAGTCTCGAGGGACGTGAGACAACTCGCCGGCAACGTCGATTGAACTTCCGATTCGGGCAAGTATGTGTTTTTCTCATTGAGTTCGTCGCTTGGGTTTCGCCTCTCTGTTTTTCGGACAACACCTGTCCATCAGACCTTCGATGTGATCTTGTAATCGAGAGTTTTCTCGCACAAAGAGAGAGAGAGAGAGAGAGAGAGAGAGAGAGAGAGAGAGAGAGAGAGAGAAAGAGAGAGAGAGAGAGAGAGAGAGAGAGAGGGAGGGAGGGAGGGAGAAAGCTAGAAAACGGGTGGGGTCAACGCAACCACGGGGTCCACCAGCTGACTGGCGGCAGCGACGAGGGAAGGCGGTGTGCAGGGATGAGGGCGCCCGACGAAAACGAATGAGAGCCGCTTCCGCGCGACTCGTCGGTGGGCCCAGTAGCCTGTGAGACTTTGTTCGAGAAAGTTTGTGACTCGTCGCATAGTTTCTCGGTCCACTGTGTTAGTAAACTGAGTTTTCTTGATTTTGTCTTCTCCTGTGACTGTCGAGGCCCGTTTCAGGATCTGGGGTCTCGACCAGGCTGTTCGAATTCCTGATCTCGGCGAAGCATTACCCCCCCCTTGATTGACCTGGGTGGCTCCTCTTTTGGTTCGGGTTGTCTAACCCAGTATCGGGATATAGGGATGAGGCAGGTAGGGGTGCGCTACTGAAAGGCTCTAAGGCAGGTATTTCTCGATCTGAATGTTCTTCCAAAAAACAAGGGGCCTCTGCATTTAGTACTGTATAGATGTCTGTTTTCTTCTATTAGCCCCTTCAGATTTTTCTCAAAAAAAAAGACCTATCATCAAAGGTCGTCCCTGCTCAGTTAATTCCCTGGTTCAGGGGCAATCAAACTCATTTTAGGCATCTTTGATGCTGTTATATTCATGGACCTGCGTTTTTCCGATGCCCGAACGACGCTGGCCGCTGCTGGGGGGTTGCCCTGTAACCTGTTGATAGCAGGAGCGTGAGGCCTGGTAGAGAGATTTGGGGATGCCTTGGGCTGGGCATTCCAAGGGAAAACCAAGGGTTGTTGTTGAGAAGACGCTGGCTGGAGCTGGGGTGAGTCGTGTTGCCCTGTAATCTAGCAGGGTGGGGGCATGAGGCATGGGAGAGCTCGACAGGGAATTAGAAAGTGTTATAGAACTTTAGAGTGTTTTGTCGGGGAGTCCAGGGGTTTTGAGCATTCGAAGGACTTTTGTGGTAATTGCTGCTTAAGTAGCCTAGCAAAGGTCAACAGTTATCCATGTTTTTCCTAAATCTTTGTGAACTTTTTTCATAGTTTTCATATTGTTCTTAGCCGAAGCCAAGTAATGGCCCTGGTATTTCAAATCATTTGTATATTCTACATGCGACACTGGGCCCGGTTTCCCAGCACGTGTTGCTCCCCACGAATAGATTGGAGCATTTATCCCAAAAAAAAAAAAAAAAAAAAAAAAAAAAAAAAA